GGTGACATGACTGCCAGCTGCCCAGGATTTTTAACTCCCCCGCTGAAGGTTGTGTGCCTGAATTCAGGACTGTCCTTTGAAAACTTCTTGCCAGCTGTTTGAGCAGAGCCAGTGCTGCCACCTGCTCGGGCTAGGGGAGGGAGAGTCACATAGAACAATGGTATTGAAATTTGAAATAACTGATGTGGCATTTGCTAAAGGTTTTTATGGGCATCAGTTGAAATGTTGGTCTCCAAGGGAAAACCAGAGTAGCGCTTGTATTTAGCAGCCACAGACCAAAACCAAATCAGAGCCCACAGAAATAAAACAGGTCTTCATCTTCGGTGGTGCCTGGAGCTGGGGCCTCCTGCTACCTAACAGGTAAGTTGGGACCTCAAAATCCCTGGGATCTGCTGTGAAAGCTGCAGTTCCTCTGAGTCAGTTTGTTATGGTAAAGCCATTTTCTGTCCATGCCACTACTTGGCTTCTGGAGACAACGGCAGCAACTGAAAGGAGGAGGGGGGTCACTCACCAAAATCATTGGCACAGAGGTTTTCCAGGATCTCCCTGGCAGTGCTGGCCTCCTCAAGCTCGCAGTCCTTGCAGCTGGCTCGGGGCACTGCTGCAACAGAAATTTAGTTATAACACCCTTGTCAAGCTTCATTGGAAAAGGCATAATGCAATTTTGAGGTCTGCGAGTGGTGGCTTGCTGTTTCCGAGTGTTGCTTCCCCCCGAGCTACCCAGTCCCTGGAGAGACAGCTTAGGCTGCCAGGGTGGGAAACGTTAAGCTCTCCTTTCTGTGGCTGGGGCAGACGCTGCTTGTCGTGCTTTGTTTAGGCTTGTGTGTGTTGCTGCATCTTAAAGCAGCAGTGAAAATGCTTAATGAAGATCTCCTGGTTTGGATGAAACAGCAAAGCCATTGGTATGGCCAGACTCCATCCAGTGATGCTGAAATGAGGCATCTGTTCTCCTCTTAACTGCTCTTGAATCTCCCCCACTGTTCAACAGTATCTGGGTGTTTAATCTAGTCTTTCAGTCTTAAACATTTTTTTTTCTTGTGTAACTCGTGTCTGCAGAGGCTTATGCCCCTTTGTGGTGTTTCCTAATGTTTAAAGAGAAGGCTTGCAAAACATTTCTTTTTGCATGTTTATTTAAACCCTGGACACAGCTGAAAGATCAGGGCTGCAGCTCCTTAGCTCAGCTGGAAGCACATCTCGCCGCCTGGAGCCTGCACACAAGCTGTGAGCTTTAGGCTTTTACAGCGATTTCTTCCCCCTGTCCCAAACCCCACGTGGTCTGGTGGCACCCGGGGAGCTAATGAATACAGTAGAGAGGGGACCAAGCTACACTCAACTTTACGCTAATTTTCTAGACACGGCAGGGTTCCCAGAGAGAATAAAACTAGAATTTACAAATTATTTTTTCTAAATATAGCTTAAACCCAGAAATACTAGGAATAGAAACAAGGCATAGGCCTATCCTTTTGAGCTTTCAGTGTAACATATGGGAAAACATGTGAGGAGAAAAAAAAAAAAAACAAAACCTTACTTCTCCTGCTCGAGGAATTCTCATCCGTGGAGACTGCTGCGATGCACAGTTCATGATCTGCAGGAAACTTGTTGCAGTTCAGGATTTCGGGCCAGGGGTAGCCATAACAAGCCATGACGGGCGCGCAGCTTCTCTTGACGGCTTCGCACAGGCTGCGGCAGGGGTAGATGAGCCTGGGGAGGGGATGGGGACTGCAGCACCTGGGGACCGCTTCTGGCAGCAGGCTGAGGGTCAAGCCCCAGCACCGCGCTGCTGCTGCACAGGGCTCTGTTGCACGCTGTAGCGCTAGCAGAGCTATTTTGGGGTCTTTGATGTGTTTTGAACATTCAAGCCCAGGAAGCAAACAACAAATGTCTTGAGGACAGGAGGGATGAGGCTGTTCAATATGGGCTGCTGCCAGAAGCCCTCCCCACCTGCCCCCACCCACAGGGATCTTTTTGAGTTGTGCAAAGGCTGCTTACCTTTACAGGTGCCTAATTAGATAGCTGATTTCCGTAGCAGCTCTGTCCTTTGACAGCTGCACCTCAAACCTGAGGATTTCTCTCTGATGCTGGCACTGTTGGGCTGAGGAAGCCCCTGCGTGGTCGGGGCAGGAGCTGGGAAGGGGGCTGCGGGGAAGGTGGGAGGTGAAGCCGGTGGGTGCCAGCAGCTACTGCGGTGTGCGAGGGGGGTGGCCAGGGGAGACGGCAATGGTGCCTGGGGTGGGAGAGCAGGAAAATCCAGAGGAGGGAACATAATGTTTCTGCTCCTGCGAGATGAATGCTCATGTTTCACTTTCAGAGAGAAGATCCCTGCTGGGTAATCCAATTGCCCCTTGCCGAGAGGGACAGCGCGGCTTCTCGGGGACTGCGCTGATCACATTGCATGCGTTTTCTCTTGGGAGGCAAATGCGGTTGCACTCTTGGGGAGTGTTACTTGCTACAGCTGAAATAACTTGTAAAAACATCTTACCTGTCCAAGCAGATTGGTGCAAAGAGGGAGCAGAGGAAAATCCTAGCGTCTGGGTGGCACTCCCTGGCCAGCAAAGGCAGCCAGCTGGAAGACTGCTGGATCACTTCTGGCATGGTCTCGTGCTCCAGCAGGTTGGGAATCCTCATCTCGGAGTAGCCGATATCGTAGCACAAGGCCATACGGTGTGGAATGGGCGTGCAGCTGGAGGATCTCCTCAGGTAGCTCGCCCAGGCTCCTGGGGAGCCCCAGAGCAGCAGGCGTGCCAGGAGACCCAGCAGCCATGGGCCACCCAGCCTCGAGGGGTGCCTGCGGTGGGCCGTGACCATGCTTGGAACGAGCTGGGAGCGGGCGAATGGGCAGCGCACCCTGGACTGAGCTGCTCCCGACTGTGGGATGCCTTTTATAGCCTACGAGCCACCTCTCTGTCGATCCATCCTCATTAAGTGCAGCACTTTCAGAGCCCTCATGGGGAAGACAATGCTCCAATTTTCATTTGCCAGCGGCCCCGATTGTTTGGATTTTAGCAGGGGTTTGGCTTAGATCAGCAGGTGTGGAAATGAGGGCGGCTGGGGAGGGATGAATGACTTGGCCCATGTGTCTTGGGGCTCTTTCAGCCGAGATTGAATCTCTGTTTGAGACCAGTGCTCCAACCCATCCCCTTTCTCTTGCTCCAGGATTAGTCATTATTTCATAAACCCCAATGTTTTCCTCTCTTTTGTTTTTTGTAAAAGCAATCAAGTGTTGCTCAAAGTCAATTAGGAGGCATTTGTTTAGCTGGATCTATTGTTGAGCAGGCAGGGAGATAGGATGGTCTCACAGCCAGAAGTTAACCGTTTCGGAGAGCTGAGGGTAGAGAGGAACTAATTTGCAGCTGTGGATCCAGGTTGTTTGCAGATGGGATTGGCAGTGCTTAGCTGGAAACCCCCTCACCTTGCAACCTGCGTGACAGAGCATGCTTTCTGCTTAACAGGATCTTTACTTCATTACGAAATCCCGTTACTACCACTGAAGAGCGGGATTGTCCTTCCTCCAGCACGTAATTAAGATTACAGAAGCTGTCATTATTGTAGCCTGGTTTGGGGAACTGGAAATATTGGGGGCATTGCTTGCCAGCGCACACAGTTCATTCGGACCTGGTGCTGTGCCACGAGGTTCAAACCAGCCAGCGGAAGCTCCAGCTCTGAAGCATCCTCTGGCACAAGGACCCTGCGCTGCCTGTGGCGGAAATTGTTTCCTTGGAGGGTGTTACGGATACAGCCGGCTGCATTGTGTTTCTGGGGCTTCCCAGGAACATCTCATTCTCTCCAGGGCTGGTTCTGGTCTGTGCTTAGCAAGAAGCCAACTGCTTATTGACAGTTTGAGCTGATAGGGTTGATTTAAGGTCATGGAAGTAATTAACTCTTTTTCCCCC